AATTTATCAAATAATTGCAATGGGAGTAATTGAATAGTTTAGGATTTAATTTATTTATTTTAAGCTTATGTTGAACTTTAAATTATTTTCTCTTTGTATTTGTGTTACTTGTTATTTTTTGTGAATATTATGTATGGGATGCTGGTTATCTTAATATGGAAAGGTATCCAATACCTTATAAAGGTGAATATATCACATTTTTTATTTTAAAAGTTGCAATTTAGTTAAAAGGTGTAGAAGAAACATTTAACCATACACATTTTTCATTAAGAAATGTCATTGAAGGAATAATTAGAGTTTGGAAACACAAGTGGCATATTTTACGTAATATGAAGTCATTTTTATTAATAAAATAGGAAAAAATTATTATTGCAATACCAACACTTTATAAGTACATTAGACAGTGTGGTGATAGATATAATTGTAATCTCAATTATATTCTTGAGAGTCAAGAAAAAAGAAATAATGATAAAGAAATGGGTTTATATACTTATAAAAGAGCATTAGATGATAGTTACATGGTTAGAATTCGCAATCAAATAATTGTTGCATTGATAGAAAATAAAAATTATTGATTTATAAATTATTTATAAATTATGTGTTACTTATAAATTATTTATGAAATTTTGTTATGATTTATTATTAATTATAAATTTTATGTTATATAAAAATAATTTTTATATTTTTAAAAATTTATTTTGAATAAATAAAGAAAGAAAGTTAAATTTTTTTCATTATGAACAAATGAATTCGTAATTAAAAGAAAGTTATTTATTAAATACATTTTATGGTAATTTTAACTAAAATTAGATATTATATAAGTTTTTTTATCAAACAGTTTATCTACAAAAAAGGGCTTATAAAAGTAAGTTTACTAAATAGATTTAGTTTAATTTTAAAAATTATTATTTTTTATAAGAATTTCATAATAAATATTAACTCTAAACTAACTTTAAATTATATTAAATAAATAACTAAATCATTTGAAAATCTGGAACATCAAATTGAGCTTGAAACCAAATCAAATACTAACTTCTTAAACAACAAATTAGAATGGATAATGATGAATGAAAATTGTTAATTATTTTCTATTTGTATAATAGACGTTGTAATTAAAGTGTTGATGGAAATTAAGTTCTAAAAATCCAATTATTATCATTAGTATTATGTATTTTAATCTTAAGGTAGACTATGTAGAAACTATTTATAAACAAAATTATCAAATAGTTTTTTTTCTCTTTTATTTCTCGATATTATTATTTCTTTTGAAATTTGAGATTGATAAGTGAGGAATGGAAAAAGAAATAAAAGGGAAATAATACAAACAATTCAAAATAAGTACTCGAATATTTGACTTATTGGTTAGTGTATGATTCCCATATCTAAAGAGTAGGGTTCGAATCCCTCTTTTCTCAATTAAAAAAAATCAAAATAATGTTAATTTTTGTTGAATTTAGATAATGGGAATTAAAAATTTGATAAAAAAGGTAGTAGTACATGCTTTCATTATAATAACATGGCACCTTTCCAAAAAAATTATAATAATTTGAAAATTAAAAAAATTAAAATAGGAGTTTTGATCTTTGATTTGGAGGGCAAGGACCATAACTTAATATTCTTAAATAAGTATATAAAAATTACATCATTATCTTAGACTTGATCGATGAAGATATTTTGGTGTGTACTTCGGAAGATGTTTCTTTCTTTAGCTGCTTTTGTTGGAACTTTTTAATAATTGTAGTTGTTGGAAACTAGGAACATTTTAAATTTTCAGTATATTTTTAATTATGTTTGTCCGAACATTTTAATGTGTGTTTAACCATGTATATTAGAATATTTACAACGTAATTAGCATAAAAGAAAGAATGAAATTAAGAAAATTGAGCTTGAAAAATGGCCCGCGGTCTAAAAAAATTCCGGTTAATGGGATAATTCGTGCAGCCAATATAAAAATTTGATCTAAATATGGTTAATTTGGTTTAGAGTTTTTCTTGACTGAATTAATCAAATACTCATTTTTTAATCTTTAAAGAAATAAAAGAAATTTAGGTTCTACAAGTGAAAAATGAAGGAGAGTTACGTGAAGGTAGGCTTAGGGCCAATTATGAATTATGATTATTTTGAATTTAGGTGCAGCCAATTTCATATATATTTATTCGATTTGAGTCATTATTTAAATAAAAAACACACAAATCGAATCAAATTTAAGTTTTTTTATAATAATTTAAAATATATTTATAATTTTTAATTAAAATAAAAAAAAATTATAGATTAAATTTTAAGTTTATTATAATGAGAGAATACTATATTTTAGTTTAATATAAACTTTAGATCATTTATACTTGGAACCATTTTGGATTTAAATTGATTTATAAATAGGTAAAATTGAGTTTATATTGAGATAATTTAAATGACTATTTAGATTTGGAATAAGATTCTTCAACTCAATCAATGACAATCAATCAACATATTTTGTCGGCATAGTATTAATACTTACAAATTATGATGACTCAGCGATCAAATCAAGACATGCCTCGTTAGAAAAAATAGAAGTGGTTACAGAGTTCCAATCACTCGATTATGCTTCAAACACACTTCGTCAAAAGGGGGGAAAAGGGTCCTAATTTAATTAGAATTAAGGTGTGTGTTGGCTTCTATCAGTTTCTAACAGACAGTGTTATGAGGAACTTCAACTGGATGACCTCACATCCACTCGAGAAATGCATCATGATATTTCTTTCCAGTTGACGATGATGATGGTATGGGTCGAGGCACATGTGACATGCCAACAAATGTTAGAACATGGCTATGATTGGCTCATGTGTTCCAAATTTGAGTTGGAGCCATAGCCATGTTAATCGAGAAGAGGTTGAAACTAATTTTTCCCCGCTATCAAGCCATGCAACTACTGATAATCAATTCAATTAGGGTAAAGTTTACAATCACAGCAAGTCAATGTTTCCATGATTAATCGATTGAAAGAGGTTTACACTAATAATAATAACTTTACAAAAATTCTTTTTTTGCTTTTTTCTGTCATGAATTATTACCCAGAACCATCCAAGGAAATTAAAAAAGTTGCTGAGATAGCGGACAATATGGATGTCAAATCGAGAGGAAACTTTTCCTTTCCTCTCTCACTTGTAGGTGCCCAATCGATAAATTCGAATTGGTTTCAATGGAGTCATTTCAGATTTGGATTATTTAAGATCATATATATTATTTTAAATCGATTCAAATAGAATTCAAAATTATTTAATTATCAGATTATTATGAATTTAGACCATTTTAAGTTCAAATCAAGTTCAATTTTCTTCACATGTTCGATCTTTTTGAATATTGGATTATTTTCAATCACTTTTAATTTTTTTTTTAAATAATCTATGTTCTTAAAACCTCTAATTTGTTTATCACTCACCATTTATATTTAATTGTTTTTACTTTTTAATTATAGATTGTGCACCACTTAAAGAAATTGAATTAATTTTATTTTTAATCAATTAAGATTCAGGTTATTATAAATATCAAATCATGTCGAGATTCAAATTAATTTAAATATGAATTAAATTAGATATCGAGTCATTTAGCTTTCGAATTATTTTGAATTAAATTCAATTTATATTCGAGTTAATTTATTTTAATATGTTAAGCTGAGACGAATTAAATTTTGTCACATGTATTCTCATCTAAAGATCTCATTCTCATTAATATTATGGCAATCTTGTATTTACTATTTCTAATTACCATAGATGAGTTTATTTAATAATGATATTGTGGGACAAAAACACTCTTAATCTTATACACAAAAAACAAAAAAAAAGTGCAGACATGTCCTTCTCCATGCATGTATGGAGCACCCAGAATTTATCAGTGATATCTTGAAAAGACATTTTCAAGAATTTTGATTGCATCCCACCCCAGGGTTTAGCCAAGCAATTCCGACTCTTTAGTTCATTAGAGAGTAGAAAAGGATTTCCTTTTCGGAGTAACATTATCTACGAGTAGTGGGCGGTAAAAAGAAATAAAATTACCCAGAAATCAATTAGCAGGAGGAGCTTGTGACTGGGGTTTGTGGGAACATATTGGGATCCAATGGCGGTAATTGTGTTTTATCTCAATGCCAACTAGAATGTAACTTGCAAGACCTGGCTGCAGACCGCCAAGATGGGGTTTGGACGCTTGGTCTTTTGGCATGGGCGAAATCACGAGTTACACGCCACTCACTTTTGTCTCCTCCTGTGTCTTGAACCCAATGGTTCTATGTCAAATGCCATGTAAATTTCATGGAAATCAAATATTCAGTCTCGGGATGCTTTTGTTTTGCAAGGGAATTCCAATATACCCTAGTTACGGCTTACGCTTTTAAACATGAGAATCTTCAATCTTATCTGCTCACTGGGAAGATTACTGATAGCAAGCTGAGAGACAAGATTAAATCACGAGTGACCAGTGAGACTCCTTATAAGTAGATCACCAACAAAATAGGTCCAAATAATCATCACGGGGCCTGACGGAATTGAGTGCACTATTTGATGATATGAAAGCAGGACCACATTCTCTTCTCTCTATGCAGCTTTGCTACAGTTACGTCAAGATTTCCCACAGCCAAAAAGTTGCATAAGCTAAGTTGTCTTGGTCCACTTGTCCTTTAATCTTTTTTCATAATGTTCCATTCTTTAGTTTTGGAATTTGTAAGTATCCACGGCAACAACACCCAGTTTTCCTCATTTCATTATGCAAATATACTGTGATCTTTCTAACAGGTTGGTTGAATTCGTGGTAATGATAATTGCTAAGAGGAGTGAGCTTTTGTAACCGACGAACATTGACAGAATTATGATTATCGTTTCAAGTTAAAATTAGATCGAAGCTTGTATTTGTAGTATAGTTTCATGTGAATCGGATTGTGTATATTCTTCTTGGAGTTGGTGTAACAGTTATGTTTAGGTATAAACTATAAAAAGTGGTGCATTCCAAGTAGTGGGAAGCAGAGGATAGTGTTTGATAGTGTAGCCTGCCAATGTTCACTTCATACTCTTTTTTTGAATTTCTTGTGTCTTCTCTGGTGAAATTCCCACCTCCTACAACAGCCCAAAAAGCTTGTCTGAAGTGAACCCCACATGGTTCAAGTTGAAATCTATTCCCCATCCCCCACTATCCAATTGTATTCCCCAAACCATCCACCTCCATGCAGTATATACAAACCAATTGTATTTAAAGATCCCACTCTGGCATGTTTTAGACTAAAAAAAGAATATCATGAAAGCTAAACCTCAGCTTTTTGAATTTTATTCCAACAAAAAGATTATCTTATTCATTTCGAACAATACATATTCTAAAGTGGGTGCTTATGTATGTGGCAAAGAAAGGAAAGAGTGTTGATAGTTTTCTGAGAAAGAGGGGAAGTCTACATTGAGTATGCCGGTTCCTGGAAGAACCGCTGGAGCAGAGCCTGTCATCTTATCATAACAACATTGACAACACTTTTCACCATAGTGCTACTCTTATTGCTGTGGTACTACTACTGCTACACCATATAGTCCTCTTCACCAGCTGAAATTCGGAGCTTCAAAAGCACAAGAGCGTTTCCAAGTTTTTCAGCTCCGGTTTTGTTTCTTCATCCTATTCATTCATAGAAAAACAATGCAAGTTCTGGCCGGGAAACTGGTTTCTTTCAGCATGTGTATGGGTCTTATCATTCTCTTTCTGCCATGTATCAGCGCATCTCAAGAACATGTGGAATCCATTCGCAGCCATACAAACAATAAAGGCAACATTCATAAGGTATTGGATTCATGTTCTGGATTCAGATTACATCCTAATTTTTTATAATAACCAATTGTGAAGCTTGTGAATAATTCAATATTTTCTGGCTTTGCTTTCTCTACAGGTGATGAGTCATAAACTGATGTTTGAGATTACACTACATGGATTCCTCCTTTGGGCATCAATGGGGTTTCTGATGCCTGTTGGGATACTGGCTATCAGAATGTCAAACAGAGAAGAATGTGGAAGAAGACTTAAAATTCTTTTCTATGTTCATGCAGTTTCACAGGTAAGTTCATCTTTACTTTACTGTTACATCAATGCGTCTTTCCCAACAGTTAATCTGGATTAACTACAAGAACCTTTCTACATAGGCTATAATTTCTGTTTCTTTCCCTTGACTAATGGTATCTCTACAGAGCTGGAAAATGATAGCACCAATGCTTTGCACAATTTTTTAAGGAAGATTGACACCCACCCTTTGGCTTTCGGCTTTATCAGTGATAATGAGAAAGACACTAAAAGTAATATCTTTCCCGGTTATGCAATATTTTACAAATATACAGCCCAAAGTTTCTTGATAACTAACTAACACACACTACGTAAATTTTCTATTCCTTCAACTTGATCAAAGAAGATTATCATTGATGCTTGAGAGGCAAGAAAAGGCCAATGATTTCATAAAAAAAATTGTGTGGGTGTTGTATTGATCTAATCAAAGATCAGAAGTACAAGGACTAGATATCTTAAGACTTAAGTGAAGGCACATTAAATTAATAGTTCTTCTATCAGCACATGATATTTACAACATGATTGTTAAGTACCTTCATGTATTGAACTGTTAATTTTTTTTTCCAACAGATACTTTCTGCGCTTCTTTCCACAGCAGGAGCAGTCATGTCTATCAAAAGCTTTAATAACTCCTTCAACAATCATCATCAAAGACTAGGGGTAGCTTTATATGGTATCATATGGTTGCAAGCCTTGACCGGCGTTTTACGTCCATGGAGGTAAACCATCATGTCCCTATGTCTCCCTGGCTCATTCTCTTGATTATTACAGCTTGCATTGCATGCAAATTCATTCTGCTGTGACACACGTTTTGCACAACACAAACATTCATGTCTGAGAGGTTCCAATAAATGAAGCCATTCCCAAACCCTCTGAATGATGCTTATCTGAGGAATACCGGTTCAGTTGTGGGAAAGGTGGTTTTAAGGATATTGTAGCATATATTGAGCACAATACTTTCTCTACAGGGGATCCAAGGGACGAAGTGCATGGTTTTTTGCACACTGGTCACTAGGAACTGCAGTGGCTATTTTAGGTGTAATCAACATTTACACTGGATTGGGAGCATATCATGAAAAGACGTCAAGAAGCATAAAGCTTTGGACCATACTTTTTACTGTGCAGATCTCTTCGATTGTTTTCATTTACCTGTTTCAAGACAAATGGTTATATATACAAAAGAAAGGAGTGATTTTGGGCCATGAACCAGTAAGACCCACAGAACAAGATATTTCACCCAGAGAGAAGCAAAAGGAATCAACTACTGAGCATTGTTGAGCACCATGTTATCAGCGACTTAATTACTAACAATTGAGGAATTCTTTCCATCCCTCTCTATTCTTCTTCTGGATTTTCTTCCGTAGAAGAATTGGTCCATAGACCACAATAAGCCCTGTAGACAGAAACTTCTATTTGTTGGCTTAATCGAGGATGTTTTGCTGTTCCTTCTTTCTCATCAATTTTGCTCCGTCCCAGGCCTCTCTTTTTCCTGTTTCCATCTATATTTGTATAACAGGAGATTAACACTAGGCAAAATGAAGCTAGATTTCCAATATCATCTGACCATGATGAAGCCCTATATCCATTATCGATAAGGAGGGTTCAATTTTGTTGTACAAGGGACTGCAGTTTCATTGGACATGAAGCTCAACTTTTTACTCTTTAACTTTAACCTTCCTTTCAGGGAAATGAAGGACAGCATATTGTGAATGACCGTTCATGAAGATAAATCAAAACGAACTTTGGAATTAGATTATAACATAGCATTGAGTTTCCAAAAATGGTCAGGGGTACAGCAATCTCTCAACTCCAGAGGATAACAACATTCAAATACCTTTTTTTCTCCGCCTTTATCCTTGCAGTAACTAAAATGAAATTGAATACCTTTTTGTACTATGATAAGCTTATAAAACATCAACTGAACCTTATTTAACAGTGCAAAGACATTTTAAAGGCAATGGCCTTAAATAACAAGTTCTGGCAAACATGTTTTGCCAATGGGGCTTTAAAATAAGGAAACTGTTGTCCGCTGGTAATATAGGCATGCAATCAGTTGACTAAACAAACAAGTACTCAACTAGACTTCGTTCTTATCCTCCTAGGTGGAAAAAGGACATGGAGAGCAAGTACCATTATGAATTTAGATGAATAAAAGCCCCAATGTCAGATGGAATCCCTGATGAAGCAAAACAGCATTACATGAATGCCACCAAACTGATGAAATTGTTGGATCAAGGTTTTGTTGGTGTTGGAAAACATGATGTCAAAGGTTGAATAGAAACAAAAGAGCAATGCTAGGTTGAAAACTATATCGAAATGGGATCATGACGATCCATAAGTCAAGCTTGTCTAGGGGTCTGTTATTATCAAGTCTAAAAGTTTCTTATGAGGCTTTCTAAAGTCTCATCTGCAATGATTTCAATAGTTTTGAAAACCTAAGGAAGAGAAAAAAATCTATATATTTTTATAGGAAACTTTTCAGACTTTGTTATGGTCATGAGAAATATAATTCTCTCATGTTATAGGTCAATGTTTCCTGCTAGTGCTTAACAAATAGCCACCCACTCAGTTCCTTAGCTGCAAATTTCATAATACAAGAACATCTAGCCTGCTAAAGTAAATATGAGAAAATCACATTACTTGACTAGTAAGAATCTTTTATAAGATTTGGTATAACATCTAAGATTTTGTTATTCCTTTTGATAGCTAAGTTAGGGGAGGGGAGATTTGAACTTGGTACCTCCTTGTTGATGGTAAGGTGTGCCAAACATCCAACCAAAATTTGAGAATGACAATGTTAGCCAGTTAATTATTAGTAGTATTTTAAATCATTTGAAGTACCACAGAATTGTGTAAATATTGTCTGCTATAAATGGGCTCTGGCTGTGAACTGTATAACTGTATTAGCTGCATAAAATCTTGGCAATTAACCAGAGTTACTCATATTAACTCCTCCCACCACCTAACTCATATTGTCATTTGCATTCCTGTTCCTCTAATCCCTTTGTTTCATCAGCAAAGAACTATTCCCTTTTATTAATTCAGTTATTAAATTTTTTTTTTCATCTCATGCGTTTGTGTTTCTTACAGATAATGCATGTGGAAAGAGTAAAGACATATAATTACTTAAAATCACTGAGCTTATGCTTCCAAGGAATTGCATAACTACATAATTTGTATGTATCTAATGTGTATGCATGAATATACCTCTTTTACAGGAGGAGAGCAACATGGGGCTAACCTATGAAAAAGCAGCTCCTAATCCCCCAATCAAATGAGCTAAGCCTAGGTGGCAAACAGTAAATTTCAAATCATAAATCGTATACCTGCTTACCCTTAGATGCTTAAATCAATCCTCTTCTCACTCCTCACTTCCCCCTCCTTCTTGCTATTAGGGAAGAGAGGGAGGATTGGATGAGGAGAATGTGTTCTACAAGATGCTCAGTTCATGCCATCCACATCCTCACAGGAATGACTATGCCATACATAACAACTGGACTGACAAGGAGATCTCATTTCTGTTATTCCGGGAACAGGTAGTAACTGATAATCTACAGAAGATGCCTCTTCTTTAAGAAGATACAGAGGTAACATTTTTAGAAATTTTCAGCAATTATCTTTATATGGTAGGATTAATTTAAACAACCTTGCAGCAATTCAACTCCTGTCATCAAATTAATGAACTCACATAGCAAGTTAAGTTCTGCAGAATAATTGAAAGATAATTGGACAAAAATAAAGGCACTAACTAGCTGCACATAACTTGAGATTGGTTTAACACGTATATCTCTATTAAATTTGAGAATATATCATGGAAAAAGCTGCACATAACCTGTTAATATAGCGATCCCTAATATTATAAAAGGTGGAACAAGTACAAATGCTCCAATGGTTGCAAAGAAAACTGAATCATTCCTCTGAGAAACTTCATTCAAGTATGCTTGTCTCCTGATATTTCTCTTCTGTGAGATGGTTAAAACCTTCGGACTAACCTTCTTCAGATTTTTTCCCAATGGAATATTGAAATCATCGTCTCTATCCCCAACCAACCACACAAGCTGCTCACGAACTGTGAGTTTTCCAGAGCTATCATCACTCTCATATCGTGGGCCTAAAGAGAGACAAATATTCACTTAATTTTGCAAATTGTACTGTCATTCCGTCTAGTCCCTTTATCTGAGAAAGAAATGTATAAATCATTTGCAATTATCTAGGGATAAGATTCTCACATACCATCAACAGCAGAGCTAGTAGTACTGAGTTGATCCAAAAGATCCAGTTGCGTGCGTGCAGAAGTGAAAGACCCTTAAGAAAAATGTCAAGAGTATATAAAGGAAATCAGCGGCCTAAACTCTACATTAATAATATTGAATCTCCATGGATGCCTAAAAAATTTCACCAGCATCTCATGTTATTAGACAATGTGATAAGAACTTCAAAGTAGCTTATAATCATTTCAAAGCAAGCAATTCAATATTCTATATTGTTAAACAAAAAAAGTCCTTCTTGCACTTTGAGCCAGTGCCATGACACAGCAGAAAGTGTGAGGTATGGAGCTACAAAAAGCTATTCATGGTGCTACCTGTATGTCCAATATGATCACTATTAGAGCAGTGTTTTCTCTTTAGTAGATCTTAGTATATATTTACATTTATTGCAATATATTTTCTGTACATATTTAGTCTAACACTCTTGTATATGTACATATTGTTTTCTAATCAATATTCCCATAAATAATAATAGTAATAAAAAGCAGAAAAATGGGAAATATAAGCAAAAAGAATGTTTCAAAATGTTAGAAAAGCAGTGTTCAACTACTAATTAATTTCCACAGACTATATTAGAGAAATAGAAAACTCTAATACACCCCACATCACAGAATCTCGATTACGAGAAAATTTCCTCACTATACAAAAATAAAAGGGCACTTGCAGAGATCCTTATAAGATATATTGGTTTGCTAGAAACAGAGACATCTACTGTAGTGATTCCTCAGTCGAGAAGCTAGTAGAATCCATAGAGTGCACAAATAACAGGGAACTACACAAACAAACGAGGGCATCAAGTCTCCTTTGATAAGGGAGAAAAGGGTGTATAATTTATATGATTATAGTTGGGAAACATTAAGGAAAGGAACCTTCATATTGTTAGTCAAGAGAGACCAATTATGTTGGATGAAGTTATAAATTCAGAAGACTATACTTGAATATAGCAGGAGGTAACATTAACCCAACATAACAAATCATAGTTTCTCAATCCCATATTAAGTACCGAAAGGTAGATACAAAATTTTATATGCCAACAATCTGAGAAGCATACCCTTGTCAAGTACAATGAAACTTCATAAAACAACAAACAAAAGAATGAAAGTTCTTTTCAGTTAAAAACAAACTAAACTAAGCTAATTAAATAAAAGAGATGGCATACCAGATAAAGAAGCAGGAGGGTCTTCCTCTTTGACTCCCCCTTCTTTTCCTTCTGACTGAGCAAATGTTTTACAAGAAGAAGAAGAAGAGAAGAGCTTGAAGGGGGGGTTGTGTCTTGGGTTAAGGAATGGAGGAGGAATATTAGAGCAGGGTTTTGGGTGAAGAGAAGTAGCCATGAAATGTAAAGCCATGACCAAGTTTATATGATGGTTTTGTCGAGGAAGACTGCAAACTTCGAAGCAGCTTTCATTTTAGTTTGCTTCTATCGTTTAGTTGCAGTTTCAAGTTTTGCAAATTTCTGTTGCATGGCCCTGACAAGGGCAACAAGAAGAAAAAAATTGCAACTGAGCTCCGCCACATGTTATATGAGGCCCTTAAGCAATACGTGGTGGCTATTCTATGCTTCCACGCCCACACCAGCACATGTTATGATCTCCTTGGCCAGTGCATCAGAATGCTTTCAACAAAGAAAAATAGTGATAATTGCAGTTCTGAATTTAAGAGAAAGAGATAAAATAAAAGACCAGATTTTTCTTCAAGAATTATATTTTTATTATTATTTAAATCTTTTAAATAAAATATCTCACTATTGCAAGGTTTAAACTCATGAAAAAAAAGATATATATTTTTATTTTATATATACACTATTCACTCAAATACTTAAATATGAAAGTGTTTTATGGATCGAGTTAAATTTAATTGACATTTTTAAATATTAAGTTAAGATTGGAGTTTGATTAGTCCATTAGAATTAAGTATATCTTTGAAATATTAAAATATATTCCTTATATTGATATATTAAAGTTCTTAATTATATCTTAAAAATATAAAAATATATTTTTATTAATATAATAATATTATGAGTTAGATTGGGTTGCATTTGAACTTCAAAAATCATACCCAAAACTCAATTCAATTCGAGCCAACTTATGAACATAAAATTTACTTAGGAGTGGAACTATTATTTTAAAATAACTTATTTGTTATGAAATAAATCTTAAAGAACAACTATAAAAGAAATATAAGAAAAAGTATTTAGAGAAAAAGTAAGTATTTAGAGGAAGAAGAAATCTTATTGAAGTATTTAGGCAAATAACCCCTTTACAAGATAAATATAACATTTAAAAATTAGATGGATTATATCTTAATTTAATCTGATTTATATCAAATTTAGATATAGATAACATAAATAGATATTCACAAAAATATTCATAATATTATTAACATTATTTTTTAATTTAATATTTAGATATTATACAATGAATTTAAAATTTATAACAGTTTAATTTGATTTGATTTGATTTATAAAAATTACAAATTTAGCATTTTTATTTGAACTTGAGTTTGATTTGATTTATGAAAATTACAAATATAAGTTATTTATTTTCAATCCAATGGATACGTGAAATTACCTAAGGTAAGATTAGCTAGTTATTATGAGCCTCACTTGCATTTAATTAACTCCAATTATCCAACTGTAATCCAAATTCAAAAGTTATTTCCCAAAAAAGTCTAAAATAACCTTCGATACTTTCCGTACTTAGAAGGCCAGTATGGTCAATTTAGATTTGAAACCGACAACATGAAAGAAATATGACCGTTATAGCTTCTACAAATCCAGGCGTTTCGAATTATTAGTACTACTTTTTAATTAAAAAAAAAAAAGAGAAATCCTTAGATACCATGTAAAAGTTTTCACACAACCAAAAAGGAAAGAAAAGCAAAAACCCTGTCGTCGAAGCTTTCTCCTTCTTGTTCTCAGGCATGCAAACAAAGAAAGCTTATTAGGAAGAGGAAAGAAGTAGAAGAAAAAAAAATCAAAGAGGGTTTTCTTCTTTTTCTTTTTTCTTTTAGTTTTGGTGTTTTGGTTGTTGTTTGGGATGGCAAAGCGTGGAGCAGAAGAGATAACAAAGGAGGAGGAGGAGGAAGGAGCAGCAGGAGCAATGGTGGTGGTGGAACAAGAAGAAAAGGAAGAAGCACACCCATATGCATTTCACGTGTCTGGGCCTCGCAATGTGGCTAAACCTAATTGGAGAGACCTCATCAATTCCAGTTGGTCAGTCAACGTTTCCTTCTTGCATCGTTTTTCTTAAGTTGCAAGTTTGAGTGTTTTTTTCCCTCTTTATTATATTATATTCAACTATTCAGTTTTGGTTCATAAAATGCAGTGTAAATGTTTTAATTTATGATACCCATTTCCCTTTTTGCTCCAAATCTATGGGAATTTCTCACTGTTTTGGTCATTTAAGTCCTTGGGTTTCAAGGAAACCATGGATATCTTAGGATATGAGGTAAAACCTTGTTTGGTATTAGAAGATTTCGATGGAAAGTTGAGGTTTATTAGCAGAGCAAGTCTGTTAGTCGTTGCACTAGAAGGTAGTAATTTGGGTTTAGGGATGTGAGTGATTGGGGAGGAATGATCTCAAAAACATTGCATTAGTTTTGGATGGACATTTTTGTTGCAGGGTTATGAATGTTTCAATAACATCTGAAAGTTAAGAAACCCGTTATTTGAAATTGAGATCTAGTTGATTACTAG